ATTGACAAAAATATTGTGAGCTGTCAGCTTGATTGTTGTATTGAAGCGCGGGATCATTGTTGAAGCATTGCAAATAGTATTCGTAAATACCTCTTGACAATTCTTCTCCAACCAATGTAAATTTTTGCACAATAGCACTCTTCGTAATCCCACATTTAATTAATGATTTAAATGTGTTTAGAGATTTTATACTAGTATAATTGCCAATAGTACCAATACCTTTTAAAAAAACAAATAAACATATGGTCCAATCGATGTCTAGGAAGTACGCTCAATGAATATTCGCAGATTTGTCTTAATTTAAGATATATTATAAAAGTTACAATCTTGCATATTTTCACGGAAACTGTTTTCAGAGACACTGAAGCTCCCACTTCTTATGACTATTTTAAGGAAAAGCCCTGAACATAAAGATTCTCTGCTAAAGAGGGGAGCAGGGTAATTTAGATTATATATCAAAAACTAAAAAAATTTGTTGCCATTGAGTTTTCACAAAATGTTAGTCAATCTCTACAACTGAGATACCCTTATGTCGGGAAACATAGACAGTCCTTTTTGGATAAATGACATTCTTGACGCATGCCATGTATAGAACAATTAAAAATGGTATTATTCCGTCTCTGTTTCTATATCTCTTTGGTATATTAGGATCTCTTAAGTTCTCGTGAGTTTTCGTACTAAGATTCTTAGCAACTCTAACTACTCAACAATTTTTATCTAAATTTCTAATTATTTTTAAGAAGACAAATATTAGATCAAAGCTAAATGGTAATAATCTAGAAGGCATTGTTCTAGAAAGTAAAAAGTGAAATTCATTGTTACCCAAAGAGTCGTAATTATAATCGCGACAATGTGCGCCACGATATATCCATCCTCTACCTCTATAAATTTGTTGTTGATCATCATTATAATTACATATGAGAAAATTATAACCAATATCAGCCCAACCTTGTATATCCATTTGAAAATCTTGAAGATTTTTTATTTCATTAATACAATCTTGTTGATTCATAATTGGTTTCAAATCTGTCAACTGTCTTATAACAATGTGTGTGACCGGGAATATTGTTAGGTTTTCACGAAATAGATATGGACGTGCATTCCAGCTAGATCGATTCAATATACTGGGACAGCCTACAAAAAGTACGTATAAAAAATTTTTATTTTGTACTAGTTCAAGAAAGAATACTTGAGCCCCCTTTCACTGCGACAGGGTTATGAAAGACGTTTCATTCAAATTATTCATTCGTAGCTCATTAATGAATTCTTAATAAATAATTGATGAGTATTTAATGGATGGACGGTTGAAGATATTGAAAGAAAAGTGAACCAATTAACTCCTGTCCACTGATGGTGAAAGATTATCCTACTACCTCACCAGTGGTTGTACAAGACGTTGTTGATATACGATCAATGACTGTACATCAATAATGTCTTATTATAATATATGAACTACATCTATATTCCAGTTCCTGATGGATAAGTAATAGGATGGTTTAGAAATATGCCGTGAAATAGATAGAATAAAACAAATAAGAATTTCAGGTTTTCCTTCTCAAGGAAAAAAAACACTTCTTCGCATTTACCTTTGAGACTTTCACCTAAACATCTGTAGTATATTTGACTGTGAGCTCCCGAATCTGTGAAAACTTGCAACCTATTATCTGTCAGTTAGCAAGAAATGCACTACTCAATGAATTCTATACAGACTAGAAATTCATATGTGATGCAGCTAAGTAAATTGAAGATTCCTTTCTTCATGTTTCTAGCTTGTTCCTAATGCCTAGAAATTAGTAATAAATCAGAAACACTCGTAAGATGTTTTGAATTTCCTGTATTTCTAGTTTCTAAAAAATTCATAAACTAATGGTAGTGGATTTCTTGTTATTTAACTTGCTGAGTTTCCAGAAATGCAAAAGCTAGAAGATGACATACCTAAAGTCAAAGAAGTTGAGAAAAGAGGTTTCATATTTTAGCTTATTTTATTGTGTAACTTTTACCTTCTGGTAAGTGGTAATCGAAAATATCATTCGTTTTTGATGCAGTCGTTGTGTTATTTATAGTATTTTTCGTAGAATTTTTTTTAACGGCAAAAGTAAAAATGAATGCAAAAGCTAAGGCCACAAGAACAGCTAATATCAAAAGTACAATGATTCCATATAAAAAATATCTTCGCCGTTTAAATTTTACATATTCTTTGGTATCTTTGATATCATTATCAGATGATGACAATGATAATGATCTCGATGCTTTGTCACCTGAAAATTTAAGAAATAAAATGAAAAGAAGAAATTTTCGTTAAGACATTGAAGAAAAAGCATACTTTCTAGTTCTTTACTATCATCCATAACATCTTCACATTCTTCTAATTCAATTTCAATTGAAATCGATGCTGTTGAATCATCAAGATAATTTCGTTTAATTGCCATCACTTTAAAAACGGAAAATGGAATAATTAAAACTTCTTGTTCATCGGGTCTTGTGGATAAACTCTCTATATTCATAGCTGTTGAATTTTGCTTTATTAAATATTGACATAAACATGAATATTGTAATGCACGATGATCTTTAGGAGTATATCTCATTTAAGATTGTTGATCTTCACCAGCAAACATCGCAGCTACTTGTCGATCAATAGATGTTGATAGAAATGCACGATTTAATATATGTTGATTTAATTGATATTGATCTAAATCATTTTGTGTTATTCTCATACCACGATAACATACACCTTGATATTGATATTGAGGTAAATTTGGATGATAAATTAAGAGTGTAACAATATGAACAAGACAATTTACAAGACGATAATTTGATGAAAACATTTTTGTTTCATCGAAATATTCTAATATATATAGAGCTAAATTTCTATTTAATACTTTATAAAAAAAATTTGTTAATGTATAAGCTTTGACAAAGTATGTTAAATAATCTTGTTTTTCTATAGCTTCTTTAAAGTATGTTTCAATAGTTTCAATTTGTTTACGAGTAATTTGATTTTCAGGATTGCCAGTATCATTACTTTGATTTACCAGATATTCATTTAAATAGTAATGAATAACTTCAGCTAATAGTTTTGATATTAAATGATGATTATCATAAGTTTTGTACACATCGATAGCTTGACGAAATTCACGTCGTTTTCCAAGAAGATCATCGCCTACTACTGACCATTCAATATAATCATAGTCATTATTTGAAAATAATTTTTGATGTTCTAAAATCAATTGTTTTATATCATCTGTTTGAGCTTCCTCATAAGGTGTTAAATTATATCGTATATTTCTTATGGAATGTACAGCTCCATATTCCAATAACATTTCTACCATTTCTCGATGACCATAATAACATGCGACATGTAAACATGTGGAACCAGTTGAATTTTCAATTCTATTTATAATATTTATATTGCCAATAAATGGTAAAAGACTTCGAACTTTTTCTATTTCATTTTCTCTACACAATTTATACAGTAAATCAATGATATTTGAATCATTGTTGTCATTAGTTGATGAGAATGGTGATAGCATTATGATGAGAACCAATGATAGAGTTTTGAATAAATATGAATATATTTTTTACATATTGTATATATACTATTAATTATAAAGAAACAACAAGAAGAATATTTTAACGTATCAATTTTTCTCGGAATCTTTTTTTACAATCAAAAGTGCATAATGATGATAGAAACACTACGATCCTTGTTAAAAAAATAATAAAACTAATATCTGTCTCACTTTCTTATTTGATTTTGTCTGCATTTATAAAGAAGAGAAAAGTATTTACATTTGAACTATCGATGAGAACTTTTCCACTTTTTTCTATTGTTGCCCTTTCTGTAATGTTTTATGAAATTAACTCATTATGTATACATGATAATATTTTTGAAATGATTTGTAAGAAACATACGAGAGTTTTGAATGAATAGAAGAGAATTTTAATATCATACGTTAGCCATACTTCGAACGATACGAGCTCAATAAAATTACAAAAATATAAATATTCAACAATCGTTCTTTTACAGTGATTATTATTTTTTGTTTCATATTTAATTTGAAATTTTTTCACTTAAAGTAGTAATAGCTGTGAAAGCATGGTCTTTCAATATTTATCTTTTTGTGGTATTTCTTGACTCTGACAGCTCTACTTATGGCTGATATATGTAAATAAGAGATTTCTCCGACAAAGACAGTTCTAAGCAATTCTCCTTACAAATTGTTTCAAATATGTTATTACCTAGATATAACTAGAACTATGAATCTCGACTATTCTTCAGGATAATAGATTTCTTTCTATATCTTTTTACTCTAACTGTTATCAAATATCTTATACTTGAAGTGGTTTTTAAGGTCAAAATCATTAGTTTTCAGTTCCGTTTTATCAAAATATAGTTCTTCGCCTGATACTATTATGTGTTCTTACTTTCTCTTCGTTCAACCAATTTTGCCTTAGGTTCAGCTTATGTGAGCATTGCTGAAAAAAAGACCACAATCTCACCCACACCCACACCCATGCTCTTGTGGTAAGTACAATGGGTATTTAAAAGGATAATCACATGTAGGGAAGAGACAGATGAATAGTCGCTCAATCGTTATTTGAATTTATCATTTGCAGTAGAATAGATTCACTGTGAGAAAATGTTTGTTCTTGCAATTTTGATTCTCTTTTCAAACACATTGGTCGAACTTATAGGAGAAAATCACAGTTTGAAACATCACTTATGTTTGCGAATAAGAGTGATCGAATGTAAAGCTATTTTGTCTGTTAAACTGTATGATATAGTAACTCGTTTGCATCAGTCCTATGAAGTTCAGATTAGAGTTCACACTCTAACAAGCCCGTTTCCAGGAATACTCGAAGGCATTCTGAGACCATTGAAGGTGTTCAAGGTTTCAATAAGTCCTGAAATGATTGCCACAAAATATCAAAGAACTAAGTTCGATCACAGTTTTCGAAATCGAAGAATCCAAATCTATAAGTGCTTTCCCGTAAAACATCGAGCTCGAAGATTTTCGGAAAGGATCTTTAGAATCAGATTCCTTGACTCCAAAAAACTTTGTTCAAGCTTTATGAAAAATCATTATTTTCCTAAAAATGGCTTTCCTTGGTCTGAAAAATGAACCTCAAAATTTTCAGAAACCACTTATCATACTTTCTCCAAAAAAGTTAATTGTGTTAGATGCTTGTCAAAGACAATCATTATTAAGCAATGCACAGAAAATGCACTTTTGAGCTATAACTACGCAATCTCAATCTAGATCAATTTATAAAGTAGTTTCATGCATACATTTTTGGTTACACGTGTGGTGTAGTGATTTCTATGTCTGTTTTCAAATTCAAAGATGTAACAAAAAGGTGACCATTGGAATTTACCTTTGAGAAACGAAATAAGTTAAATTCTAAACTAAAAATTACGATGAAAGTGTGACCAAAAAAAGTAATATGAGAAAGAAAATATAAACACGTAGTATCACAAAGTAAGCGATCAACGGTGACATGAGAAAATACATGATAAAAATTACTATGACAGTGTAAGTAATAAAAAATAGTATGGGAAAGTAAGAGTTAAACAGTACTATCAAAGCGTAAATAACAAAAAGTAAAAAATACGTTTTTCTGAGAAGTATACTTATGGTTACTCGAATAGGTTCACTGATTAGCATTTTTCTACTTTACATAATTAAGCCAAAAGTATTTAATAGGGACGTTTTTGAGTTACACATGTTACACGGGTCATTTAAGGATCTTCAGCATTCAGAAACACCTATTCGGAAACCTTGAAAGGTTTTCTGGTTTTTCTACTCTCTGAAACTCTTCAGAGGGCTTTGAAATTTACTTTCTTTCAAAGAGTACTACGAAATATTTCGTAGCAGGCTTGATTAACGAGTCACTATCAAATATGAAGTCTTTATGAAAGTTTCCCGGTGAATAGTAACTTACTAGTAAGATTTCGAACCAGACATACTGAGTTGGGGCGTGCTCGGTCAGAAAACAGTTATGGGAATAAATCTTTATACACTTCAATATACATCTAGCGTCGAATTGTTTTCTATCTAATTTATACCATAGAGAGATCTTGGAACTTTGCCATCCTACACTCTAAAAACAAATTATCCTTCAAAATCCTTGAAGGCTTTCTAATACTAAGGCATTTGGGAACTCTTTAACGATTTGCGAACAGATGTTTGCAAATACTTGGAATCCTTTAACTACTCATGTAAAACGTGTGATCCAAAAAGCTCCTACTAATTATTATTGGCTACTTACAGTGTCATAGTAATTTCTATTCCTTACCTTCCCATATTACTTTTTATTACTTACATTGTCGTAGAAACTTTTATTACATGTTTGCTCATGTTATCTTTCATTGCCTACGCTGTAACAATACTTTTTATAGTTTACTTTCTTGTGTTACTTTTTATTGCGCACACCGTCATAGTAATTTCTAGTTTGGAATCTTTCTTATTTCGTTTTACAAGGATAAACTCGAATACTAACTTTCTACCACATCTCCAAATTCGAAAACGGACATACAAACTACTAGATCACACCTATATACAAATATGTATCCATACAACTGCCTTATAAATTGATCCAGATTGCGATACTGCAGTTACAGCTGAAATGTATTTTTTCATGGCAGGCACTCAAAATAACCTTTGCAAGAAATACTATTCGTAGTTTCTCAAAATTTCCAGTTTAAGTTTTCCGTCAGTGGAAGATTTTGTTACGAAAATAACGATTTTTCAAAAAGCTCGCCCGAAGTCTTTTGGGGTGAAGAAATCCGATTCTAAACACCGTTCCTGAGCATCTCCAAATTCAACATTTTACGGAAAACCACTTATAGATTCCGATTCCTCGATTTCGAAAACGTTGATCGAACTTTGTTCTTTAATTTTCTTTATGATAATGGTTTTAGAAATTGTTCGGGAATCGAAAATGTATCTCCAGAAATCCTTTTAGATTTTAAATCAATTTGTTCGGCAATCTTGGTTTTCTTTTATTTCTTTACAGTTTCAGCAAAGCTTAATAGGTTTTCGACAGTAACACAACAGTTATTAGGAATACTTTCAGAATATTTAAATCGGTGCTTTTGAAAACTGATTGGTTTCCGAAGCGTCGAAAACTATTTCAGAGACTTCCAAGGGTTGTTGAATGACTTCGAATTGTCTTGAGAATAAATTTTGTTTTTGTCTCTTTGTATGAACACTTTCAATTTATTCTGAAAACCATGATACCTCGTTATGAAGAAGATTTCAGGTCGATTTGGAAAACTAGTAAAGTGGTCTAGAGTTGAGAAACAAGAGCCTAGAATCTGATTTCTTTGAAGTTTTCTGTCATATCAGTATATTTAATATTTGATGGAACAGGTCTCATTTCGAACTGCAATTAGTAGGTAGTAAGGTTTCCACACAATCGATTTTGTTGAACTATATATGAAAAGCCTTTGAAGATTCTTTATTATTTGCATGTAGATCTAGTAATTTCTCTCCTTTGAAAACCTTTTTTTAATGTTTCGAATTGAATCCATTTTGAATACAACTCAGATCACGATCTTCCTAAGAAACCAGTTTATGATCTTATAAGACATTATAAAATTTTCAAATGGCACTGAGCGATGGTCTAGCTAAAAAAATCTCTCTATATCCATACAAAGGTTCAATATACATTTCTTTTTTGAAGTGTATATTTTCAGGAAGTACCACTACATAGCCAGATTACCTTTACAGTATGAGCATAGTGCTGGAATGAGTTTTGACATGCACAACAGAGAAAATAGTCAACCAGTGTATTATAATTTTCATGTGAGTCGTCTGCTCAATAATTACTGACAGAACAAAAAAAGGTAGGCTTAAATTACTTTCTCCACATAAGTCTTGATAATCAGCTGCATGAAAAAGAAAATGCATAGAGACATGCATCAAAATGAAGAACATTTTTCTTCTCAACTTACATGTTGCTTGGACATGTTTCTCTTTTATGAGCTGAAAAGAGATAGGCAAAAAAAAAAGCATACTACTTAATTGCAGTAGAGATAATCGGTTTGGTGCGCTTAATTTTTGCCAAGATTAATCTGAAAAATAATATTTGTCGTACGTCTTGCTCTAAAATAATGCATGCATTTCTGCCAAATGTTGCTATTCTCATGCCAGTATACTGAGAGAGAGTAATCTTTTCATTTTGTTTCTAACAAATGAAGCCATAGTTAAAATGTGTGATTCAGCGAAAACACACGAAAATCGCCGAAATATCGAGAAATAATTGTTATTATTTAGACTTTTCTCATATTGCACATAATTACAATTCCTTACAGAAAATTCGGATTCACCCTGATAATGGAAAATCCTAGAAGAGAAAGCTGAGTTCTAGATTCCAGAAAGTCAAGGAAATCCACAAGCCTTCTAGAAATCTTTAGCATGTACACATCAAGACTCTGCTCTTCCACCGTTCAAAGCTCACATTCTCAGCATATGAGAATTGCCAACTTGATACATATTCGTCATTGTGTTATCAAACGTCGTCTTGT